ACTAAAATTCTTTTTGGAATTACAGTTTTTTTTTGGAATTATCAGATTTTTTTTCAGAATTACGGTGAATTTCTTAAAACTATCGGAATTAACTTGGAATTACAAGAATCATTTTGGCATTACAAGAATTAAATTGGAATTATGGAATCAATCTAAAAGCAATGGAATTACGATAGATTATTGGAATTATTTTTAAGTAATTAAAATTGTTTTTGGATGCTTTGCTATTACTAGAATTATTTGTACTGAATTTTTTTTTTGAAATCATCGTAAATAATTTCTTTTGAGTTTCTTACAACTATTAAAATTAATTTGGAATTACAGAAATTAAATTGTATTTATAGAGATTAATGTGAAAACAATAGAATCATGATAGATTATTACTGGAATCACTGGAATTTTTCTAGTATTATTACTAAAATTCTTTCTGAAATTACTGAATTATCAGATAATTTTTTTCAGAAATTAAAACTATTGGAATTAATTTGAAATTACAAGAATTATTTTAGTGTTACAGAAATTAAATTGGAATTATGGATCAATCTAGAAACAATACAGTTACTTACGATTATTGGAATTATTTGTAAGTATTTGGAATTATTAAAATTATCTTTGGATGGTTTCAATTACTGGAGTTATTTGTAAATTACTGAAATTATTTGTAAGTTATTGGAATTTTTCTGGAATTACTGGAATTCTTTTTGAAATTATCGTAAATAATTTCTATTGAAAATTGTGTTTTTGGAATTACAAGAATTATTTTGGAATACAATAATTAAATTAGAATTATAGGAATTAATCTAAAAACAATGAAATTACGGTGGATTATTATTAGAATTACTGAAATTTCGGTGGATTCTTTTAGAATTAATGGAATTTCGGTGGAATTTTTTGGAAGTGGACTTTGTAGATATTTTTCAAGTTATACGTTTCTCGGTATCAACAGTAGTAATAAAAAATTCGCGGATTAAAAATGTTATAGTGGTTATTACTCGTTGGAACCAAAAAAGTTTTGTCGATTTCTAAATCTTGCACAATTGTGTAGATAACGGGAGGTTCTTTATGTCCGTCACGTATTGTGAGCCTCGGACCGGTGTAGGGTGACATAAGAGAGGGCATAAATCTCCGTGTAAAATCTGTAATGAGTATAGCCATGTGCAGGTTTCGGACATCCACAATGGGTTAAATAATTCTTTAACCAAGGCATTTACGAGCTTCTATTGTTGTGTAATGCCTTAGCTACTGGTCCTATTGTGTTTTTTTTGCTTTCCCTTTCAAAAATTTTCCTTTTACGAGGCCATTTATAACCCGTTCGGTGACAGAAGTTGATCATTGTTACTTTGTCCTCTTCTACACCCCCGAATATTTAGTTTTTGCTGTACGACGTCAAGATTTTATTAATGATACGGCCAATGTCCACTTTTGTGGCGTCTGACAATAGGTCCTCGAGAACACCTCGATAATTATCGCTTAAACACCATTTAAAACTGGAGAAATTCTCGGAAACAACTTGTGCAATTCATCCGAGGGTCGCTTGGCAGATGGAGACTTTCGACCCGGATATACTTAGCGATAGTGAAAGAGAAAAAAATTACAAGTGTGTCGGCAATGAAGCGAAATTCGTGCTTGGTTAAGCCTTTACGGAATGGAATCTTTTAAGCCTCTAAATACGACTCAACCGCTTTCGGGCGGCAGCTTTAAGGCCCAACACTTTACAAAATGGATAAAGAAGTATTGATATGTGAGCTAAGCGAACCCTTTTAAGAGGTGTCCGATGGTGCATTCGAGTGCAATCGCCCGATAACATTCAGGGTGTAAACAAGCAACCCCTTCACAAAAGAAAACACTTCTTTGAAACTACTGCAACAAAATAAAAGCCTCTAGAACAACAACAATTTCAATTTTTAACATTACATTTTTTAAATTTTAGTTATTACCGCCTCCACTGGGGACACCACCTCATTGACACTTAAAAAGCATTCTGTACAATTTTAATCTCACTAAATGAAAATTTGGGCTAACTTATGCATTTTAATTAATTCGTATCAATTTTTAATAACAAATTTGCTTTGTAATTGTTTATTTTTTTAAAAAAGCACTCAGTCGGTATAATAGATTACTCCACGTTTCCATTGTCAAAAATTTCTAGGTTAGAGTGCCCAATATAAACATTAAAGTGAGTCTAATAATGGCAAATTTGGGCCGATTTGCACTCCAACGCGTCTTTTTGTCCGGTCGAAGACACTTAATTTGTACCCCCGTTAATACTTTGCGAAATATTGGCAAAAATCCAGGTGAGAGAAAAAGTGAGGTTACGTCCTAAACCTCTGGAAATTTCCTTTTATTTTGGCCCTAAGACAAATATTTATCAATTGGAATGTGTTTACAGTCTTGTCAAATTTACGACATTGAAATAGTTACATGTGACAATTGTAATCAGCGAATTGATTACCGGTGAGTGAGGTTATGTTTTGTTTTCAGAAACCACATTTTTTGCCCGTTGTACTAGTACTAGTACGAATACAAATGCAGTGTCTGAGGAGGAGCACCACTCGATAATTAAAGATACGGAAAAGCCGAAAGGCGAGCCAACCAAACATGAGTTTCAAGCCGAAACTAGGATGTTGCTTGATATTGTTGCAAGATCTTTGTATTCAGACAAGGAAGTTTTTGTTAGAGAGTTAATTTCGAACGCTAGTGATGCTTTAGAGAAGTTTAGATACCTGACAGTGTCAGACGATGAAGCCCGGAAAAATTTACGTGAGCCAAATCGAGTCCTTGAAATACACATATCAACGGATAAACAGGCCCGGACTTTGACTATACAAGACACAGGGATTGGTATGTCAAAAGACGAATTAATTGCGAATTTGGGTGTCATTGCTCGGTCTGGTTCCAAGGTCAGTTTTAATTTTTCTTCTCACATAATTATAACTGTTTTTAGGCCTTTATTGAGCAACTCAAATCGAAAGAATTGACTTCTGACAGTAGTAACAACATTATCGGCCAATTTGGTGTCGGTTTTTATAGCGTTTTCATGGTTGCCGATAAAGTAGATGTCTATACTAGATCCTCAATGGAGGACCAAGGCTACAAATGGAGTTCCGATGGCACAGGATCTTACGAAATTCAAGATGCTGAGGGGGTACAATGTGGCACAAAAATTGTGCTACATTTGAAAACCGACTGTCGCGAATTTTCCGATGACACAACAGTCGAAAATGTCATAAATAAATACAGCAATTTCATCGGAAGCCCCATTTATTTGAATGGAAAAAAAGCAAATATTGTGCAACCAGTTTGGTTGTCTGACCCCAAAAGTGTAACAGTACAGCAACACAACGAATTTTATCGGTTTATAAGTGGGAGTTATGACGTCCCTAGATACATATTACATTACAAAACTGATGTTCCATTGTCCATACACGCGTTATTATATTTTCCCGAAGGAAAACCAGGTTAGAAAAATTGTAGAAAAAAACTATTATACAATCCGGGTTGTAGGTCTGTTTGAGATGTCACGTGAGGTCGAGTCCGGTGTCGCCCTCTACACGCGAAAAGTGTTAATTAAAAACAAAACTGACAACATCCTCCCCAAGTGGTTACGATTCGTTAAAGGTGTCGTCGATTCTGAAGATATTCCGTTGAATCTCAGTCGAGAATTATTGCAAAACAGCGCACTTATCAGGTATTTATTTAGAAAAAAATATATAAGAGTATTAAATACAAACTTGCAGAAAACTGCGAGACGTCCTAACTAACCGTGTAGTAAAATTCCTTCTGGACCAACTGAACAAAAAACCGGAAGAATATGAGAAGTTTTACGCCGATTATGGTCTTTTCATCAAAGAGGGTATCATAACAAACCCCATCCAAAGCGAAAAGGTGAGTTATTCGAAAACTTCACTTGCGGACTTATCATCTAAATCATCATCATCACTTGGTAATTCTTCTTCTTCTTCTTCGTCATCATGAGTCGAATTTTCGGTGCTTTGGGTTAAAATATCTTCACCTTGCAAGTCACGATTTTTCAAATTTCCCATCCAGAAAGCCGCCGAACACCCATTTGCGACTAAAGCGGCCTTGACTCGATACACCAGAGTTTCTAAAGTGAGCCGAAATTGGGGAACATAGGACATTAAACTGACATCTTTGGTCAGTTTCGAGTAACAACACAGATGGTGGAGGAAACGGGTATTAGATTGGATGGTTTTGAGGATTTCAACCACTTTGTCTGGTTTTGATTTGAGTTCAATCTCCAAGATTGGTATCCCATGCGAGAGGAAAATCTTTAAAATCGCTATTGACTTCTTTAGGAAACAAACAAGATTGAATTTCGTTTCATGAACTTTGACAATAGTCATTAATCCTTGCATTGTGAGTGCAACAGTACGCCATAGAGTCAAATGTTGCGCATTTGTTAACGATTGAATCTCATTTTTAACACGATCGTGCAAACACATCCATAAATTCCGGTAAAAAACATGAAAATTGGTTTTAGTCACACTTTTAAGCATGTCGAGTGAGTCATTCTTACTCGTGAGACTCGGTGCTTGCTCTTGAAGCGTCCCCACAATCCCACACAATGTCTTAATGTTGGCACTACTCAAGTATGATTTCAATAAAATATCAATGTTGGCAGAACTGTGATTTTCCCACTCTTTACTAAGCAATTTACTCGCAGTTTTTGACCGAATTGTAGGACTCGGAGTGATGGAATCCAAAGCCTCCATTGTCTGAATCAAGTGCACTGCGTGTGTCAAACAAGAGCAATATTGTGTCAAGTTGGCAAGCCTTTCTGTCAATTCAGTGATTAGATGATTGGCTGAATGCAAGTCAGTGTCACTCGAACGAAAACTCTTGAGTATGTTTTTAAATAACTCGAGACGTTTTGAGTGTTGCCAACCCGACCAACCCAAAATCAAACATAAACACTCCAAAATTAACCCAAATGCGATTTTTGCATCATCATCGTCGTAGTGTGTGATAATAGTGTCAAAGTGGCGTCTAATGTGCGGAAGGGTTTTAACCGAATCGGTTATAACTTGTAGAGGAGTGATTGCGGTCAAGTGGGACATTCCTAAGTTCGCTCCTTTGGTCAAAAGTGACAATTTCCGGACGTAGTCCTTCAAAATAAAATTCAATTGTTTCAAACTTAGACAAATTTGATTGTCATTTGTTGTCCCAAGTGGGTATTTAAGGAGTATCACTAGATCCGTGTCAATTTCCCTGAAATTGACTTTAAAGTCGTCCCTTTTTTTCCTCGTAGGAGTTTTACTTGACGAGGCAACAGTCGAGTCAAGAAATTCGCGACTTTTCTTCAATTTTTTACGCGGCTGTTTGAGGTCTTTACTAGGCGAGGAACTTCTCGTACTTTGTGAAAGTAAGTCGAAATAACAGTTTGGAAGTTTATGGTCAGGGATAGAGTCTAAAGACTCGAAAAGGAGTTGCTCCAATTCGGTCAAATGATCGATTCTTTGTAGCACTTTTCGTCTCAATTTCTCACTTTTTTGAAGCACAAAACCGCTTATTACCTCTCGAAACCAGTTGATACAATGGAAAAGACAGTCACTTGTTTTCCTAAACTGTTCTAATGAGTCTTTCTGTTCCGATTTGGGAAGAATAACACCACAACCGAGTAAAGCATCAATTGACTCCAAATTGCCATTTTGTTGTTTGTAATGTAACAAACGCAAGAGTCGGAAATGGGGGGCGAGGACCACAATTGAATGTTTGTCCGGTTTGAGGGTCAATTCGGCGATGTTGACGGAAATTGGGGCTTCCATTTCTTCATCGGTGTTCAAATTGTATTGTCTTGAGACCTCCAAATCATCTATAATCGAGTTTGTTGTTTCCGTTATGAAGACATCTTGAAAATCGAGAGTGACATTTTCGTGCAACCATGCCAGAAAGTGTTTATCCAAATTCTCACTTTTGACAATCATTGCTGCCAACTGGTCGTAATACAAGCCGACTAGATCAGGACTACCTGCAGTCGAAGTATTCGCCAATTCGAGTAAAGCAGCTGCATCTTTCGCAACACCATTTAATTGTGCAATGCTAATAATCGAATCTTCGGATAATACGACGTCACTTTGGTCACCATTAACAGTCGCAATGTGTTTGGCCATGACCACCGCCGATATGATCCCTCGGTGTTTCAAACTTCGCACGAAACTCGATAATTGTTTACGGATCAAAATATGGATTTCTTCCCGCAAACCGATCAAGGAGTCATCAGAACAAGTCACACTACATAAAATTTCAAACACTAGTTTTGTGTCTTTGAGTTCGAACGTGTCAAGGATCTCTAAGAGACGCATTAGGATTATGGCATGGTTTGGTGTTTTGGAGATTTCGGGGACCAAATCGAGGATTATGTTGAGGATCACTGTGACATTTTTTTGGTCACTGGAACCGACCAAAACGATCAAATTTTCGAGAATTTCCTGTCGGTAGATTCGTATTGTGTGTTCGTGTGTGAAGAGGAGTTTGAAGAGTGTTGATGCGAATTCGGTGATGGTTGAATCGGTTGATGTTCGTAAAAGAGTTGATCCGATTTCAGTCATTGTATTAAAATAATCACGGAATAGTTGTTGAGGGAAATTCTTCTCAAACAAATGCTCCACTAATCCTGATTTGAAGTGACCTTCTTTTACTTTTTTCCGTATTGTGGTTTCAATTGTCCGTTTCTTCAACTTAGTACTCGCATGTAACATAAACAAAAGGACCAAATCGATATATTTGTGATCATTGGAGTTTTTCATGTTTGAAATTAGACTCAACCAAGTCTCTGACACCACTTTCAAACTCGCCGATTTTTGTAGTCGATTAAAAATCAAGATTTTGCAAGACTCCGTCTCTTTATCACCTTCATCACGTGACATTATCGCATTTAAAGCGTTTCGAATCTTCATCAAGATTCCAGGTAAAGTCCTGCTGTGACAATCCGTTAGTAAAAAATCCAAAAAAACCGGAAATATTTTCATCGAACTTCCGGCCAACATTTTCGCCAAAATATGGTCTTGTATTTGTGTTCGCATGTCGGAAGTTAAATTCAAAGCATTCAAACAGTCGATTATAGCACCGGAAAGGTTATCACTATTATCAAGCATTTTTGCGAGTTCTTCGACGGCAGAATGGTACTCACTATCGGGGATTATCTCAGGGATAGAGTCTAAAATCTCTAATTGGGCGGTATAGGGGGCTATTTCGATAATATCAAGAAGTTTAGTTGTGAGACTTTCGGGAGTTTTAATATGGGGCAAGTAACGCAGTTGGCTTAGAACGAGGCGTAGGTGAGCAGGATCGTGAGCTTCGTCGTCTATAGTTGAGGTGACTTCGTTTAAGAGAATATCGATGATTGGGGGCTGAAGGGGGCTCACCTTGAGGAATATTCTGTAAAAAGTACTGACAATAATTACAGGTTTCTTCTATTTTTTTCAAAAAACATACAAAAATTCAGGTTTTTAACTAATTCAAATGATAGAATTTTGGGTGTCATAATACAGGCTGCGCCAGAACTCGCGCCCCAGAGAAAAATAAGGTAAGATACCAGGAACATCAAAAAAATGTTTAAAAAATTTTATCTATAAAAGTTTCGAAGTTATGAGGGTTTAAAGTTTGCACTTTGACTCTATTTATATAAAAAACATATACAAGATCATCAGTATCCTTAAATAGATATAAAAAATGTGAAATGTCAAAACTTTTTGACAGATAGAATTTTTTAAATATTTTTTTCATGTTCTTGGTATCTTATCTTACTTGAAAATTTTCTCTGGGGCGCGAATTCTGGCGCACCTGTATACTATAATACACAAATGGGGCTAAAAATTATTTTTTCTTCCTTTATTAATTGTCGAACGTTTTAAATTTCATAGCGCCCCCTGGTGGAGTCTAATAGTTTTTAAATGCACTGTGATACAGACTTTTGCTTTAGGCGCCGCGTTTGAAAATTACCAATCATCATCATTGAGTACACAAAAAATGTGATTGTCTTAAGAATGAAATTTTGTTTTTGAGTTATGCTTTTTTTTCAAAATGTAACCATGAATATTTTTTTCGATAAAAACTGAATTGAATGTAGCCGTAGATAATTATTGTAATCCTAATTAGATCACAACCTTTGTAAAAAAAAACCTTTTTGGTCGGTTGCTATTCGAAAAATAAAAAAAATTGCAGAATTCAGAAACATAAACTTTTATTCTTGATAAAACGTGGCATTTTAAGCAAAAAACATACTTTTTGTTTACCTTTTATACTCGTTTTCATTTTAATGTGCATCAAAGTAGTCGTTGAAAGAGATTTAAGGTGGCAACCATGAAAAAATTCAAACAATCCTAACCTCAATCTTCCCTAAAAATTACTTTTTCAAATAAATGTGTACCCCAGGTACCAAAAAATAATTAAAATTAACATAGGGTGGCAAACATAACGATTTTTGTCATTATTGATGTGATTAAATTTGTCTTGAATGACATTAATGACACTTTTTGTGTAAATCGGACTTTAAATTAAAGATTCATTTAGACTTCTACAACCTACTTGATTCACATTAATTTAAAAAAAGAGTATATAAGTCTTTCTTAATAAAAATGATTACCAAAAATATACAATTCACATAATTGGATTAAATATGAAGTAATTGAGTAAATGTAGAGTAAAAAGGCCAATTTTGGGCTAAAATTGACATTTCATTGACAAGTTAAGTCACGTGACTCGGCGATTTATTTCTCAAAGCCAAATTTTCTAATTGAATTATCGCGGTTTCAAGGCCCCTTTTTAGCCAAAAGTGGGTTAAAACAACGTGCACCTGATAAGTGTCAACACCTTATAAATTTATAACCCCCTTGTCAAGTGCATTAACCTTGTTATTGTAAATCTCAATAAATCGTATTTTCTTACCGGAATAAACTTTCTTGTTGAATTTCCATCGCGGCAATATCGTCTGTGCTATCCCCACTGGTCTTTTTTCGAAAAACGGTCGGTAATAAAGCTTTCTTCAAATATTTTTCCTTCCTAATTAAAACTTTGAAGCCTCTGATAAATTTCTCAACGTTATCGTCGTCTTCTTGAATAAATTTTTCAATGTCTCGAACAACCAATGCTTGTTCCTGAGTCAAACCATTGGGATCATCGGTCGAGACTAATTTAATGCCTGAATCTCGGACGATTTGTTTGAAATATTCAGTGATAAGGTTTTTACTAATTTGGGAAATTCCGCTTTGGGTTATACTCATCTGTTGCGTCATTTTTTAACAGAGAAATCAATTTTTCACATTTTCACAATTTTCCCTCCAAGGTTTTTGACACATGACATTTGTCATTATTTAGGGGGAAACTAAAAGTCACTATATTTCAGGAGGATTGCGCCAAATTGTTACTGTTTGAATCTTCGCACAAGAAACAAGGGGAAAAAGTCTCCTTGAACGAATATATCGAGAGGGCGAAGGACTCCAGGACGATTTTTTATTTAGCCGCTCCCAGGTAATTTATTAGTTTTAAAAGAATTCGGAAAATAATACAAATTTGTAGTCGGAGTCTGGCTGAAGCCTCCCCTTATTATGAATCGCTTAAAAGCAAGCAACAAGAAGTCTTGTTTTGTTATGAGCCCTACGACGAACTTGTCCTCATGCAATTGCAGCAATTCAAAGGTTACAAATTGGTTTCGGTGGAGAAGGACATGAGGGACGACAAGGCTGCCAATGATCTCAGTAATTTAGGTATAATTAAATTCTTTGTTGCTTCTGGGGTGTTTTCCATGGTTTTTGCGTAGGTGAGGATAGTTTGAAACGCAGCGAAGTGAACGAATTGTCAGACTGGCTCAAAAATAAACTCTCTGGGAGAGCAGTAGAAGTGAATGCGACCACACGATTAGAAAACCACCCTTGTGTTGTAACAGTTGAAGAAATGGCAGCTGCGAGACATTTCATAAGGACACAAAGCCACCAATTATCTGAAGATCGACGCTACGCGATTTTGCAACCCAAGTTTGAGATTAACCCAAGGTTGGGATAACATTCACAAGGCTTTGTTTTAATGTTAATTTTGCAGGCATCCAATTATAAAAAAGTTGCATAAATTAATGACGAGTGATCCACACTTGGCTGAACTTTTAGCTAATCAGGTAACTTATCAATTGACGCAAAAGGAATGAATAATCCACTTGAGATAATTTTTAGTTATTTGCCAATTCCATGGTGGGCGCTGGGTTGGTAGAAGACCCAAGAGTCTTACTCACGTCAATGAATGCACTTTTAACTAAAGCATTAGAGAAGCATTAAGACTCATTCCCTTTTTTTTTGTATTTAGTACTTAATAAATCGAGTAAATGATGTTGTTAATTGATTTCGTAATGACGCCACGTATTTAATGATCGATTTTCACGTGATAAGGGTGTCGATTTTTTGAATTTGGCGCCTCTAGTCGCGTGCTTGACAGAGAGGAAAAGATGGTGGTCATGTGATTACTCGAGGGTTTCTTTCGACAAGTTTGGGGTGTTTCAAGCGTGGCTTTTACCTGATTGTGTTGCTAAATTCCGTTTCATGATTTGTGCAAAGTGTTTCAAGTGTCGTTTCAACAAAATTGTGAAACTCCCGTGTTCATAAAACCCGAGTCGACGTGTAGTGAAAGTGACATCACAAGATAATCAAGATTGGCGTCTTGTGATTGGCGGTTGTGCGTCCTTGGATCGCGTCTCGACCAATCATCGCCCGGTGTTTACCCGCACTCCACCTGAAAATTTCTAATCGTCATATGACCCATTCCTGCTGGTGGCAGTCGTGTAAGCCATATTTGTCAGTGGGTTCGCTGGTTTAGTTGAGTGTTGTGTGTCTCGTACTCCATTCCGACCTGTAAATACTCCACCGTACAAAATGTCAGGCATCAGTGAAGAAAATCCCGTCTATGGCCCCTTCTTCGGCGTCATGGGAGCGGCGGCCGCGATTATTTTCAGTTGTAAGTGGAAATAAACCCTCCTTGGCTGGTATCGATTTTATCGTCTCGGGCCGCGTTTGAGGCCATCGGCGGCCACAACGGCCTCGAATCACAGTTTTAAAATAGTTTTTGCTCACACCTAGACTTCTATCGCGCTAAATCTCCGCTCCATGGGCGTTTCATATGCCGAAACAGCCCCCACAAGCACTGCGTGACCCACTTAAGTCACATGCCTGACCCACCCTAGTCGGGGGCTTCCCAAAAAGCCCCGAAACAGGTGGGTGGGTGGGTTCCACCTGAGAAGCATGTGACCGCAATAAGTCACGTGAATTTCAGTTACAACTTACATAACCTACAAGTTAGCCCCCTAAAATCAAACCCAAACATTACTCATCAGGTCTAACGAAAATAAATAACAATAAGCAAGAAAATGGCAAAGAGCCAATCAAGGCGTCTGGGACACTTGCCGGTTTGGGGGGGGGTAGCCGCCCCTTACGGCGCCATTTTTACTCATTTTAATCCCTGATTAGATAAGTCGACAGTCATGTGATCTATTGTCTAATTCTGGTTTTGGTAAAAAACTGACTTGTTTGAATAAATGTCCAATGAAGTGTGACACTATTATTATTAAATAACTCATAATTGTTACTCCTTAATTTTGACAGTTGTCACGTGATTACAAGGAAACGCAAAAATGCCACTATCTTTATTACGACTTTGTAAGAAATGTGTTTACTACATTAGCAAAAGCGATAAAACCTATTATTCATTGTTTAATTCTTCCTATTACAATGAAAATTGTCTTATCTCTTGTAAAAATGAAATTCCTGTAGTGAGCCATGGATGAGTCAGGTCACATGACAATGACGTTATCTTGTGACAGGTGACACCTCGAGTACAAAATCTAGTTAGCCTTTTCGAATTGGCAAATAATGAGGTATTTTTTTTTCATAATCTATAATATGAAACAAAATATTGTAAGCGGCAGATGGCGCCTGCGATATAACGTTTTTATCTAAATATTTTCAACGAAATTGAGCCGTTTTGCAATTCTTTTGTTACACCAGTTGATTTTTGTATAAAATTACATCAAGTGGGGTCTTAATCTTATCATTTGATGTATCATATGACCGCCTTTGAATTTTATATCTACTGAAATGTAATTTAGATGTTAAAGTGTGTGTTCATTAATAAAACAAATAGAGTTATGCAATTTTCTCGAGACTGTAACTGTTTTCTGATTGAGGTCATGTGTGCAATTAGTGTTCAATTATACATACCTTGTACATTGAATGAAAGAAAATTATCGAATGAGTGTCATTGTCAAAGTCGGTTTTTGGGTAAATTCAGTTGGCCATGAAAAATTGTCAAGTCACGTGACCAATCAAACGGGATTTGTATGTGCAAAAACAGTTAAAAATTAATATTTTACTTTCATTTGAAGAACGCCATTTTGTAGTTTTTTCATTACGTTACAAACATGACACTGAAAGAAATAGAGTTTACAACTTTCAGTTTAGAAAAAGATGAAACGTTAAATGTTTCTAGGAAATTCTTACGGGATTACACTTTAATGATATCCAATTTCGTGGTAAAAATGTTTCACTGATAAAACTCTGGTTTACATTTATTATCAGTTTTGATAAAGCTTTGAGTAAAAGTAAATACAAATTTTTTGAACTCATGGCGAATCTTGTTTTAACGAAAAATCGATTATACTCTGTAAAAATTTCTTTTTATAACAGAAATACGAGCTGAATTTTTGGAAAAAAATTCTCTGATGTTTTTGACGGAAAATCGTTATAGCGGAGTTCTATTGTACTTACTAAATAAAGTCGCAATTTTTTTTGTAGAAAATATTTTGTATGTTTTGCAAACTGTCATTTTTTTAATTATTAAAATCACAATCAAAACAAAGTTTGGAGGAAATTAACTAAACATTTTTGCTAAGTATTATGATGTTATAACGAAATTCTAATACAGGGTGCGCCAGAACTTGTGCCCTAGAGAAAAATGCCATATAAAGTAAAAAAAAATTATCTATAAAAATTTCGAAGTTGAGAGATTAAACTGCACTTTGACTTTGATTATATCTGTTGGAAAAATAATTTTCCAAATTTTTTTGCTATAGGCTATTATAAGAGGAAACAAGTAACTCTGTTCAATGTTATTTGTCGCTTTTATTGGCAAAATTTTGGTATCTTTACTAAATAACTGTAAATAAATATACCAGGTGAATAAAAAGTATGGAACCAAACTTTTTTTGCTTAAACTATTTATTTTTTGAAAAAAATAATTGATGAGTGCTAAAGTACTATAAAAATGTGATGATTTAACAAGAATAAAATTTTTCGAAATTTCCTTTTGTTTTTGAGTTCTACAAAAAAAAATATTTTTTTAATTGGCAACCCACTATAAAATCATGTTTGTTATAAAAGCTATACTCTAAGGGTTACAACTACATGCTTTATATTTAATTTTTTCAAAAATTTTTTTTCACATAAATTGCAATTTTGACAAAAAAATCGTATAACTCAAAAACAAAACAAAATTTCGTTCTGAAAATACGATCACATTTTTTATATTTCTTTAATTTATATTAATTATTATATTCTGGAGGCAAATGACTAAAAATAAAACCGCTTGGTTCCATACTTTTGTATACAAAATCATCAGTATCGTTAAATAGACATAAAAAATGTCAAATGTCAAATTTTTTTTTCAACATTTTTTCCATGTTCCTGGTATCTTATCTTTCTTAAAATTTTTCTCTGGGGCGCGAGTTCTGTCGCACCCTGTATAGTTGTCATCGAATTTGAACAATTTTAACTCAAAATTATAATAAAATTTATGTTCTAATTCCAATGGCCTACTAGGTTTAAACGTTTTTATTTTTGTTTTAACTTGAAATACGTCAAAAAAGTGTTTTGTTAATCTTTTAATAAACGTCAGATTTTTAATATTTTTTAGTCCAATGCTAGGCTATCCGCGACGTATAAGCATTCGTAATTACAATTTTTCTCTCATTTGTAAGAGAGAGGAGTAGACTAGACTAAATTTAAACCTGTTTATCCTTCACGATTTTAAAAAGCCAGCTGACTAAAAAGCTATAACGCGGTAATTTAAAATCGGACTCTAAACCTAATTAAAAATAATCAAAATCGTCTCTAATGGTCAAAATGTATTTTTATTTTCAGCACTGGGTGCAGCCTACGGCACAGCCAAATCAGGCACCGGAATAGCAGCAATGTCTGTGATGAGGCCAGAACTTATAATGAAATCTATTATTCCTGTTGTCATGGCGGGTATTATTGCTATTTATGGTCTAGTTATTGCTGTTCTTATCGCCGGAGGTATCGAATCCGCCGCCAATAACTACTCGTTGTACAAGTAAGTTCATCAAAGTTGATTACAAATTTGAAACCAACGAAATTTTAGAATTCATCATTTTAAATAATAAATTAATGTTGTTGTTTTGACAAAAAAGAGCAATGAATGTACAAAGGACTACAAATTGATTTTCGTAGTCTTATTTTTTTGAAGTGTCACTAACATCTTTAAAGATGAAAATGTTTTTATCCTTTTCTTTTGACAAAATATGAATCCAAATATGGGATTTACATAAAATAACTACACTATTGAAAAATTGTTTGATGTTAGCGACTGTTTTTCTAAATTCGATTTTCTTAGTTTGTCTTGTGTTTTGGAACTTTAGAAATACGAAATCTAAACACAAAGTATGACATTTCAACTTTATTTAATAACTAATATGAAATATACAGTTTAGGTTGGGAAGTGATCAATTGAAATGTAATACATATGACAGTTCAGATTGGAAAATGACCTATTTCCAACCTGGAAGAAACTGATAAGGAAGTGATCACTTCCCAACCTGAACTGCCATAAATCATGTTTTTCAAAATGTGATAAATTCTTTATTAGCTTTCTGTTTTTTTTAAAGAGAATGATTGTGAATAAAATAGTATACAGACCTTGGTGATCATTGCTTTGTTGTGCCTCGGCTTGGTCATAAATTTTCGCCTTGGTAATGAAGCACTTCCCGTCTTGGTATGTAATCTACTATTGTTTCTTTTCTTTTTTTTGGTTATTTTAAAACAACATACTTTATAATTTTTTTTTTATTTTGTACTCCTAGCATAAATTTTATTATCAGGTATCAAATTATCAATAATTTTTAATGTGTTTTTAATTTGTTTTAGGAGCTGTAATTTAGGTTTTAATAATGTTGTAAACT